TTTCAGGTCTGTGCAGGAAAGTTTCATTTAACAGGCTGGGTTTTCCACACCCTGCACATGAAAGGTTTGGCCCTTGACCAGCTCCCGGGATGTGCCCTTCAAACTCTTGGAATGCCTTGCCTGATAGGAGCGTTGTTTGTGTACCTGGGGGCCTCGGAATATACCCAAAGAGTCTATGCTAACGATGTGATTTCTGGTGGGGACCTTGGGCCATGTGGTATCCACTCTGGAGGAGCTCTGGCGGGGGGGCTGGACTCTGAAGTCAGCTGTGTCTGTGTGACCAATGCCCAGGAAAAACCTGGACACCAAGGCCCCGGTGAGCTTCCCTGGTCGGCAATCCTCCGAGCGTGTTGTCACACACCGTTGCTGTGAAAATCCAGTGCTGCCCGCACAACCCCGCTGGGAGGGGGCAACCAGAAGCCCAAGTCCCGGCGTCTGCCAAACACAGCCCTGCATGCCTCTTCCCTTGGCTGCCCTTCATCTCTGTCCTTTCACTGTAATGAACCTTCGCCATGAGAACCACTTTCCCGAATTCTCTGAGTCCTTCTAACGAATCCTCAAATCTGAGGGGGGCATCCTGGGGACCCCTGAAAGGCAGACTCTTTTCCTGGGTGAATGAGGCAGGGAAGGGAAGTTGAGGCAGAGAAGGAAAAGGTATCAAGAACCTCAAGCTGTTTGGTTGAACTGATACCACCATTTCTCAAGTGCCTGTATGTAAAGTGCGGACTTGGCATTCCCAACTCCCAAATGCCTCACTCACACGGGGGGTCATCGTGGGTATGTTTGGCATTCGTTCTGGTTTTCAGGCTCATCATGCTCCCTTATGTGCTGATCCTGAGGGGAGTGCCTTTCTCTCCTGGTCCTAGCCCATCCTTGAGTGGTTCTCACTGCCATCTCACAGACGATGCGGCTGATGTCCCAGGAGAGGGGCCACTTGCTCAACTCCTCCAGGACAGCGATGGACGAGCCAGCATCCCAACCAGGCCCATGGACACCCAGGTATGCTTTCCTTCTGTCTGCGGTTTGTTACTGTGGGGAGGTGATCGGCAGGGCTCAGATCACCAGGGCATTTTCAGTAAGGTCAGATAATGAGAAGGTCTTTCCCTGATCAAAGAGGCCATGTTTTTGGTTAATTTTTCTCCCCCGGATTTATTGTCAGATAATGGGCGAATGTGTGAGTTTAAGGTAGCCAACATGCTGATTTGATGCACTTCTATCTTGCACCATGATTACCCCAGTGGCCTTAGCTAACACCTCCAACACACACCTCATTACTATTTCTTTTTCATGGTGAGAACCTTTAAGATCTATGCTGTTAGCAACTTTCAGACATAGAATACAGTATTAACTGTGACCCCCACGCTGTGCATTAGATCCCTGGGTCGGTCTTATTCATCTTTTAACTGGAAGTTTGTAACCTTTGACTGACATCTCCCCATCTCCCCACCCCCTTTCCCCTGTAACCATCACTCTACTTTCTGTTTCTATGAGTTTGGCTTTTTTCAATTCCACGTAGAAGTGAGATCTTACAGTATTTGTCTTTCTCTGTCCCGCTTATTTCACCTAGCATAATGCCCTCCAGGTCTCTTCACGTTGTCACAAGTAGTGTTTTGGGATTATTTCAAAAAGCACGTCTCAGTTTGATATGGGTAGCTCCTGAACTGCCCCTGGAGACTTGCTAATCTCCCTTCTCATCCGAGAGAGCAGGCCACAGGCTCCATGCCTCCTGCAGGCAAGGAGATCTGGCTTGAGTTGCTTTAAAGCTGGTTCCTCAGTTTCTCAGCACTGCTGACATTCGGGAACAGATAATCCTCTCTGGTGGGGCCGCCTTGTGCATCATAGGGGGCTGAGCAGCATCCCCGGGCTCTACCCACTGGATTCCAGCAGCTCTCCCTCCCCCACGTCGTGACAACCAAAGTGTGCGAGGGTCCCCTGGGAAGCAGAATATGCCCCTGATGAGAACTGCTGGTTTAAAATGTACACATAGGGGCACCTGGGTGGCTCAGTTGGTTAAGCGACTGCCTTTGACTCAGGTCATGATCCTGGAGTCCCGGGATCAAGTCCCACATCAGGCTCCCTGCTCAGCAGGGAGGCTGCTTCTCCCTCTGACCCTACCCCCTCTCATGCGCGCTCTCTCTGTCATTCTCTCTTTCAAATAAATAAATAAGTAAAATCTTTTAAAAATAAATAAATAAATAATTTTAAAAATGTACACGCAGTGCCTGGACCACCTTTGGAGGGGACAGTGAGCAGAGCAAGAGGTGGGGGTTCCACTGTGTTTGTCCTTCTGGCCTGCCCCGCCAGGACTGGCATGACTCCCAGCATCTGACAGCTTCCCTCCGCGCACCTGGGCCCAGGCTCGAATTTCAGGGATCCCCAGGAGACCTAGGTATTCTAGAGGCTGGCTGGTCCCCAGGCCCCAACTCCGGGCTCCAGGAAACCATAGTTGCCATAGCAACTGCTAAGCTCTTGGGGTGAGGAGCTGGCTGGTTGAGGGGCAAAAGACTCCAGAGCCTGGAGGAACCAACATCCAGGGGCCTTGGCTGGGAGGCCACTGTCCAACATCCCCCCGTGAGTGCTTGCAGACCAAGCAGAGCAGTGGGGAGCAGTGGCTTCAGCTCCCCAGGGACGTTGGAGGTGGCGCGGACTCCAAGGCACCAAGGGGGTGAGATGGACGCCCCATTCCAGAAGGCTCTGCTTGGCTGCCCTCCCAGGAAGGCCACCTGGCTTCCGGCCTGAGGTCCCTGAGTCCCAGGCCCTATCCTGGGGAAGCGTCATCCAGGTGGACAGGCAGCATGAGCCTGGGCCCCCTCAGCCCGGGCACCCGCCGGCGGCTTCTCCAGGGTCAGGCAGGCCCCCTCCCAGCACCTCTGCCCAGCAGTGTGGCCATCTTCATCAGCTCCACAGTCTCGGGTAAGGGGCAGGGCAGGGCTGGGGGGTTAGAGGCAAGCAGGTACTCTTGGGGAGTGGCGAGGTGGCCAGGGCATGGCTCATAGGGTCCCCTAGGAGACCTGGATAAGAACGCAGCCTGGCCAGTGACCCACATGGGAACTGGTGAGGGGGAACCTCCTAGACCCTCTGTTTCCTCCTTGATAAGTCAGGCTGAGAGCCTGACTGGATAGAGTTGCTGTGAGTGACAAATCATATTGCAACTAACATTTATGATGAATGCACTACAGGCCAGACTTTTAAAGAGTGTGAGAGCCGTTTCCCCCCACCCCTCAGACACCAGGCTTTGCATGACCTGACCCTCCTCATCTCCCATCTTGATCTCATGGGGTCCTCCCCTCACCCCCGTGCTGTGGTCACCCTGAGTTCCAGCAGGTCGTGGGACTCTTGAAGCCCCGGGCCCCATGACCGTTGGTTAGGGGTATGTGTATTTAATGTCTGGCTCCTCAGAGCAGGTGGCAAGCCCTGTGGGGGCAAGGACGGTAGTATGCTGGCAGGGTGTTTACTAGCCTGTCCCCCAAATCTAAACTAAACAAAACAAAACGAAAAACACCAAAACACCCGATTTGTACCGTCTGCCGATTTCCGTGGTGTAAATCCTTCCGCCAGGGTCAATTTCGAGCTGCCGATGGGACTCGCCCGAACACGCAGGCAGAGATGTGCAAGAATTCAACCTCCTCTAATACTTGCCATGAAACAAAATCAGCAGCCAGGATCAAACTCCAGAACAGAGCTCACAGTCAAATGTCATTAAATAATCACGAAGTGATGCGTTTTGCGCATTTGCCATCTCTGCCTTTTCCATTTTAAGTTCCCATGATTTAATTGTCCATAGTGGCTATGTGAATTCACAAAATTCCTGAAGATTTAGCACTCGGCTCTTTCAAGCCAGTGAGGGCCGGCTCCAGCACACAGCATCATCCCCATGATGTCTTGTTTGCGGCCTCGCCCCAGTGGTTAAGCAAGGTTCTGAGCATAAAGCAACTTCCTAATAAATGCTTTATGGACGGATGTGAATAACCCGTGGAATGCATTAGGCATGGGAAGAGCGTGGGGTAGGAGGCACAGCCAAAACTGGAACCCAAGTCAGCTCCCGTCCCAGGGCCTGGATGGCTTCTTCGTGCCAACAGCTTTGGGAGTCCTTCCCTGAACCCTGGGATGACCTCCCCCTGACCAGGGGGAGAAGACAAACATTTCTTCCACGTCTATCTCATGCTAGGTGCTTTTACTTGTAAGATTCAGTAGCTCAACTAACACTTATTGAGCACTTGTGTTGAGTGCTAAGAATTTAGCCATGACCAAGACAAGCAGAAGTGTTTGACTTTGGGGAGCTTGCGGCCCTGCAAAGTAGAAGCATCACCCCCGTTTTACAGAGGGGGGAACCTGAGCATAGCCTGACCCTTGGCACTGGGCCACACAGTGAAGTCAGTGGTGCAGAAGGTCTTAGAATCCAGGTTTACCCCGGGTAGGGCTGCCAGATTTAGCAAAAGCAAAAAACGAAACAAAAAACAAAACAGAACAGCAAAACCAGGACATCAGTTAAATTTGCATTTCAGATAAACAATGAATAATCCTTTAGTATAAGTATTTCCCAAATAGTACATGCATGACCCGGGACATACTTATGCTAAGAGATGAATTGTTGTTTATCTGGAATGCAGATTCAACTGGGCTTATCAGATGTGCACATGCATCCAAATAGTGCACGGAACAGGATATACTTATGCTATCAAGTTTTTCATCGCTTAAAAATCTGAAGCACAAATGCAGCTGGGCATCCCGTACTTTATCTGGCAACCCTAAACTAGGCTAACCAACTATCCTGGTTAGCTGGGCCCAAGGGGTTTCCTGGGATGTGGGATTTTTAGCACTAATACCAGGAAAGTCCCTCTCAGGTTTACCTCTTGATTTTTTTTTTGTATCTTTTCATTTGCCCCACAGGGTCCCAGCCTTAGTGGGGACAAATGAGGCTAAAGGCAGAGCCGTGGGGGCAAGAAAGGGTTCTGGGATCTTCCAGCTAACATCCTCTATGCTGTTCCTTGCAGATATGGATGCAGAGAGAGAAGCCCTGCAGAGCACGGCCTTCCCCGAAGTGCAAACCTTCTGCCAAAAGCATGGGCTGATGTTTGAGGTAATAGCTTCCTCCCTGCCTCGGTGTCCCCTGTCCTGAAATTAGAGACCAAGGGTTTGCCACCCACACTGTCACACGGGACCCTTGGCTCCGAGAGGCTCCGCACTGGTGATGCCCCGTGGAGATAAAAGTCCTCTAAAAAGGCAGAGGAAGGGATTATAGCTGCGGGCACTTCGGGGAGCCCAGGAGGTGTGGGAGTGCTGGGCGGGCCTCCTTGGGACCCTGCTCCTTGGGCATGCCACTTACCTGCCTTTCGTTGTTGGTTTGTCCTGCCCTCCTGGTCCTCCCCAGACTGGGGCAGCTTCAGGGGGAGTCTAAGAGGACTGTGGGGTGTTTGGGGTGTACACAGAAGTGGGAGGTGCCTTTTTCGGGAACACTAATGGTGTACCTGCTGGGCACAGTCGACAGCAGTCCCCAAACAGAGGCCCCTATGGCTCTCGCACCAATCCAGGCATAGGATGCTGCCCCCTGAACGTTTTGATGGGGAAACTGACAAAGCATCTTTGGAGTGTTGGCTTCAGTTGACCCTGACTCCTTGACCTGTGTGACAACGATCCACACGCTCAAAGGCCCCCTTGATTATAAGATGCATCGTAGTTTCTATATCACTAAGAAAGAAGCAGTGCTGGGACTTGGACTCCGCCTGCCATCGATCATCAGACTCTGAGCCATTCTGCCTGGCCCCCCTCAGGGAAGCAGGCGAAAGTGGACCGCAAGCGTGCGGTTGTCAAGGAGACCTTGCCAAGTCTGATTTTGGCCAAACTAACCACCCTCCTTTGCAAAGAAAGCTCTGGGAACAAGTATGGACATGTCCTCACTTAGGAAGGAACAGTTTGAATATGGGCAAGTTCTTCAGACATTTTTTTTATACGTTGTTTTTTTTTTAAGATTATTTATTTGAGAGAGCGAGCATGAGAGGGGGGAGGGTCAGAGGGAGAAGCAGACTCTCCGCTGAGCAGGGAGCTCCACGTGGGACCCGATCCCGGGACTCCAGGATCATGACCTGAGCCGAAGGCAGCCGCTTAACCAACTGAGCCACCCAGGTGCCCCTGATATGTTGTTTTTAACTTAACTTTTTATTTCAGATTTAGATTTATGTGAAGGTGGCCTACAGTCCAGAGTTCCCATATGCTGTGCTCCCAGTTTTCCCCCTCTTGTGAACATCTTACATCATCAGGCACATTTGTCATAACTAAGAAATGGACATTGGTACGCTGCTATGAACCAGCCTCATTCAGATGTCACTGGTTCTTCCGTTTGTGTCCTCTCTCTGGTCGAGGACCCTGTCCAGGGGACCCAGCAGGGTTGACTCTGGTCTGAGACAGTCTTTCCTTGTTGCTCATGACCTTGACAGTCTTGGAGAGGGCTGACTGGCTGTCCTGCAGGATGCCCCCCATCTGGGTCTATCTGATGTTTCCCTCATGATGGCCCTGGGGTTATGGGCTTCATTCAAGTTCTTTCAATTTGGACACCCCCCCTTTGGGGAGAGACTGTCAAAAATTACTGAAAGAAACTTTATGCCTTTGTCAAAAAGAATTGAAAAAAATCACCCATTCTGCCACCTCCCTGACACACCGACACTTATAATCTCCAGGTTGTTGATCTGAGGTGGGGTATTCGGAACACTGAGGCCACTGACCACATGACCACAGAACTCTGCTTGGAGGAGCTCGACCGGTGTCGGAAAACATCCATAGGGCCCGCTTTTGTTGTGAGTCTCTTGGGAGGGATGGGTTGGTGATTACTTCTCATTCCAGCCCCGATATATGGCTCCTACCCACTAGCCAAACCTATCAGTGGAGGGATGTGGGTGGCATTTCTGCTATGGTACCTAATCTCCATAGCCTGCCCATGGCAGACATTGCTAATCGATCACTACTTATTTTCCACCAAGCTAGCTGGGGTCCAGACATTAGCAGCCAAGTGGAAGCAACAGGTGAGCTGGAGAGCAAAGGGTAGAAGCCCAAGGGAAACTTAGAATTTGCTCTGAACCTACCCCCAGCTTTCTCACCTCATCCACTTCATGTGTGTGGAATGTGGGGATCCTGGAAAAGCACAGAAAGGATGGAAACCCACAGGATGTTGGGAATTCTTTTCTCCCATGTGCTTCATGGTTTTGGGAGAAGTCTAGAGCCTACCTCAGGGCAAACTTCCTCTGACGCTAGGTGGGACCAGTTTTTCCATGTTCCGGGGTATTCATTCTTTCCTCCCACCCCAACAGTACCCTCTCTGTCCCCAAAATAACCCCCAGCTCACAATTAGTCGTTTGGGCTACAATCGGCAAATGCTATTCCACAGTCCTGATTTATTCCACCACCAAGTTCCAGATACATCCAAGAACTATGACATTTGAGCTCATAAGTCCGAGCAAGGGTCAGCAAACTACAGCCTCTGGGGCAAATCTGGCCCATTTTTTGTAAATAAACCTTTTTCTTTTTTTGTAATTAAAGCTTCGCACTCAACCACACTCTTTCATTCACCTATCATCCATGACTGTTTCCCAGCTACACACACAGAACCGAATAGTTGTGGCTGAAGCCACCTGGTCTGCAAAGCTGAAAAGATTGGCTATCTGACCCTTCCCAGAAAAAGTTTGCTGACCTCTGTCCTAAAAGGTAAAGAGGGAAAAAGTCAAGAAAGTATCTTTGCCCAAAACGCCTTAGTCACAAAGAAGCTTCGAGCAGTTCCAAATAAAAAGAAAACTCCCCTGGAACCTCTCCTGGAGACAAAGGAGACTGTGGGAGAGGGTGGTCCCCCTTACAAAAGCTGTTTTCTAGGGAAATAAAGAGAAATATTTGAAGGCTGCTTGGCTTCAGAATCGCACTGTCTAGCACAGTAGCCACAAAGCACGTGAGGCAAATTTAAAGGTAGATAAATGAAGATCGAGTAGGATTCAAATTTCAGGTCCTCAGGGCCACCAGCCACGTTGCGATGGCTTCATAGTCCCATGTGGCAACCGGTCACCATATTAGACAACACAGATGAGCACACTTTCAGCGCTGCCGAAGGGTCTAGTACTGCCTTGGAGATGAGACCTCCCTCCCCAAAAGAAACTCAGACCTGGCCAACATGTGTGAGAAGCTTTCTTTATTATGTATGAAGTTCGATCAATTGAGTCAGACTTCCGTTTTCAGTCTTTTTTTTTTTTTAATTTTTTTTTAAAGATTTTATTTATTTATTTGAGAGAGAGAGAGAATGAGAGATAGAAAGCACGAGAGGGCCGTTTTCAGTCTTTTGCTCTATGTTTTTCTTTGTCTGTTGGTGCTGCCTTTTTTTTCCTTCTCCCAGTTTTATTGAGATGTTTCTGCCATCCAGCAATGTGTAAGTTCCTGATGTGCATCATTAATGACTTGACTTACATGTATTATGAAATGATGACCACAATAAGTTTAATTAATATCCATCATTTCCTATAGATACAAAAAAAGAGAAAGAAAAAGGTGGTTTATTTCCTTGTGAGGAGAACTCTCAGGAGCCACTCTCTTGGCAACTTTCAAATACATGTACAGGAGCATCCACTATGGTCCTCATGCTGTGCATTATATATCCCTAGTCCTTGTTTATCTCATAGCTGGAAGTTTGTGCCCTTTGAACCCCTCTGCTTCAATTACTATTGCTTTAAAATGCATCCTAGTGTTTGGAGGGTTCTACCCTCCTGCTGTGTATCTCCTTCATACCTCCCCCCCACCAATCTTCCAATTTAGTTTTCCAAATGAGCCCGACGAGTGATCATTTCGTGGAGTTTCAAAAAAAAAAAAAAAAAAAGGAAAGGAAAGAAATTTTCTAAAGAAAAATGGGCGATGGGGAAAAAAGGAACTCCAGGAGGAATTCGATTTTGCAACCCAAATTGTAGGCAGTGAAAAGCACAACGCAGCTTCCAGGTAGCATGGGGGATGGGATGATAATCTCTGAGCTTCCCCCAGGCCCGACTAGCCCGGGGACCTTGCTCATCCTTCCAGAAGGGCTCCTTGGGCAGGGGCTGACCTCTACCTGCTTCCTGCTTTCCTCTTGAACCAGTCATCTCCCTCTGTCCCCCGAGAGTCGCCGCATCTTTCTCCTTCAGTGGCTCCAACTGGGGGGTCTTCCCGTGGAGATCAGAGATGCGCTGGCGGCCCTTGGAGAAGCATCTCTCTGGTAAATAAGTCATTAGGCAGCAAAAGTAACAGAGGAAGGCTCCCCATGGTACTTCCTTCAGAGGCTCTGGCTCTCTTGGGCCACCCGCAGCTCTAGCGTCTCCAGAGAGTTGCTCCTGGTGGCTCCTGACCTTTTTCCTTCAGGCTCTTCCTGTTCTTTTTTTTTTTTTTTTTTTTAAGCTCTTCCTGTTCTTGCTCTGGTCCCTCAGGCAGGAGCATTTTCCGTCTTGTCTCCCTCCTAAGATCTGATTTGTGGTCGGCTGGCTTCTCCAACTTCTCTCACTGCTCCAAGGCTGATGCTTTGGGAAAGGCCCCCAGAGAGTGGCCTCCTGTTCAACCTCCCATCATCACAGGCTCTGTTTATCCAAGTTTCCTCTGTGCACACCCCTGGAATATTCTGGCACAACCCAGTGAAGAGGGGAGGGGTGATTGCTTCCATTTTATGATGAGGAAACTCAAGACGTCAGGCTCGGTGTCCTAGACCATCTCTAGCCTAATTCTCTAGCATTCCGGTTTGCACCTTCTGTTGGAGCAGAGAGAGGGGCTCCTAGGGTTCTTGGCATTAAGACCAAAGTCTTAAAAAAAAAAAAGACCAAAGTCTTAGGGCCTCATCACCTCCACCCCCCGCAAAATCTTGCCTAGGGGGATGGCCTTCTGTTTCATTCCAATTTTAGTGTATGTGCTGCCGAAATGAGCACAAGGGATGGCCTTATGTTTCACCACTGCCCCCTCCTCAAGCACCTCCCCCACCCGGCTTTCCTGCTCTAGGTCTTTGGAGCCACTTCCTGCCATAGGACCTTTGCACATCCTGTCCCCTCTGTTTGCAAGGCACTCTGCCCCGTGCACCCTTTCTCATGTCTTCTTCTTCAGCTGGATCCTTAAATCTAAATAAAGACAGGGTCCGCCTTGTACCTTTGAGACCCACCTGCCCCCGGAACCACATCATAGCATGAGATTTGGGCAGGGCCAATGGAGGCCTTAGCTCCACCACATCTCTATTTCTGGGACAAGCCGGTGCCTATATATGAGAAGCTGTAGTTTTCTCTCCCTCTGCCTGTCTCTTATTAAGGGCTCTTGGGATTGCATTTAGGGCTCCGATAATCCAGGATAATCTCCCCAGCTCAAAATCCTTCACTTTAGCACATCTGCAAAGACCTTGGTGCTAGTCGTGGTTCTCCAGGGAAATAGAACCATGAGGCAGTACAGAGAGAGAGATACGAGATACATATGATTTCTGACAGGAATTGGCTCACACTGTTATGGAGGCCGAGAAGTTCCACCATCTCCCATCTATAAGCTGGAGAACTGGAAAAGCAGGTGGTGTCATTCAGTTGTAGGCCTGAGGCCTGAGAATCAGGGGGCTGAGGATGCAAGTCCCACTCTGAGTCCCAAAGCCCAAGAACCAGGAGCGCCAATGGCCAAGGGCAGGAGAAGATGTATGGCTCAGCTCAAGCAGAGAGAGGGAATTCATCTTTTCTCGGTTTTTTGTTTTGTTTTGTTTTTGTTTTTTGGGGGTCCTATTTGGGCCCCTGGTGGATTGGATGATGCCCACCTGCACTGGGGAGGGCCGTCGGCTTCACTCTGGAGATGCTATCATGGACACATTCAGAAATCACATTCGACCAGCTATCTGAGCATCCCTCAGCCCAGTCAAACTGACACCTAAAAATAACTATCACAACTCTTTTCCATATAAGGTGTGAAACAGGGGCCAGGGATTAGGGTTGGTTATCCTAGGGGGCCATCAGTCAGCTTCCACAGAGGGTTTTCCCAGCAAAAGATCCCTTGATGCTTGGTACATGATCAGATTCAAAATGTACCTGTCCGATGTCCCTTGCTTTCAGGGACCTTCATGCACATGTGCTCTGAGGCTCTAGCCTGCGTCTTAATGAACCCATCACCGTGGCACCACAGCCGGGCCCATGTCTGGGGGGTTCAGTGCATCTCACCCAGGGTCACTGAGCTGAGCGCCCAAGCCAAGATTTGAACCCGTGCCCCTCTCTCTGCCAGGCCCTCTTAGGCGACCAATACGGCCCCTGTCCAGTCCCCACACTGATCGAAGAGAAGGAGTGGGAGGCTCTGAGAGCCCAGCTGACCTCCAGGCCACGTGACCTGGAGCTGGTGGTTCGATGCTTCCGGAGGGACGAGAACGCTGTGCCCCCCACCTACCTGCTGCAGGCGCTAGGGACCGTGGAGGCCCACGGGCCCGAAGAGGCCACCCTGACCTCTGTGCTGCGCTCCGGAGCCCAGGAGGCCCGGAGGCTGGGCCTCATCACCCAGGAGCAGTGGCACCGCTACTACTGGTCAGGTGAGGCTGCGGGGACCCCTGTCAGGGGCCACAGGAAATGCCCCGAATTCAAACACACGCATCACATTCTGTCCAAATGCCATAGCCTACACTCCTGTAAATACCAGACCAGCCTAGCTCTTGGGTCCCTGGTTCTGCAAGAGGTTACTGTACAGATCCCAGAGTTCAGCCAGGCCCTGGTTAATTCTCTGTCCGTTAGGACCCTCCTTTCTTCTCCTCCTCCAGCTCCCACTCCCCTTCTCCCTGGGAGACTCCTGGTTCTGAGGGAAGGCTTCTAAGATGACCACTATCCTGGTTTGTCTGGGGACTTTTAGGGCCAAACCCAGACAGTCCTGGAAAAACTGGAACAGTGGGTCACCTTATGTTAGCCCAGGAGCCAGCCCCTGCTGCGGAAACTGAGTCCTCCAGCCTCCCTGCACCTGCCTCAGAGGTGGAAACTGAGGTACAGCAAGTGGTCTCCTACACCTAAGGTGGGGAATAGGGATTTGACCAGAGTCCATCACCCAGCTCCCAGCTGGCCCCTTACCTCCCACCTCTAGCCTTAACCTCTGGCTCTTCCATCCTCCGCACTGGCTACCAGAAAGATTTTTCTAAAAATACAGTGTTGCCAGGGTGCCTGGATGGCTCAGTCGGTTAAGTGTCTGACTCTTGGTTTCGGCTGAGGTCACGATCTCTCACGGTCTTGAGATCAAGCCCCAAGTCAGACTCTGTGCTGAGTGTGGAGCCTGCTTGGGATTCCCTCTCTCCCTCTCCCTCTGCCCCTACCCCCTGTTCGTGCTCCCTCTCTCTCTAAAATCAATAAATCAATAAATCTTTTTTTCAAAAAATGGCAATGTCACCAAGCCATTTTCCCACTGCTTGCTGCCAGCAAGAAACAGATTATTACCATTCACGTGTTCAGTAGTATGTCAGATATGTCCATTTATATCACCAAAACTATAGTATATGAATTTCTTTTACTAAAATATTGAAAACATGAACTCATTTTGTCCACATATTAAATACATGGATTTATATTATGAACATATTAAACACATTGACTTGTTTAAAGATATTGAATGTAATTGATGAAAATAGTATTTTAATTGTACTAAAATGTATTGATTATTATCTATCATACATATTAATTCTAGTAATGACATATCAATTTTTAAAACTCAACTTTTTATTTGGGGATAATTTTAGATTTTCAGGAAGTACAGAGTCTCTGTATGTTCTTCACACAGAGACATTAACATCTTATGTGACCACAGTACAGTTGCCAGAAGTAAGAAATTAACATCAGTACATAACGATTAACTAGACTCCAGAGTCTAGTTAGAGTTCCTTGGTTTTCCCGTTAATGTTTTTCTGTCCCAGGATCCCGTCCAGGTTTTCATGCTGCGTTTAGTTGTCACGTCTCAAGTTCTCTTGGACCGTGACAGTGTCTCAGCCTTTCCCTGTTTTTCATGACTTTGACCATTTTGAGGAGCACTGGCCACGTCTTTTGCAGAATGTTCCTCAATCTGGGCTTGTCTGGTGTTTTCTCATGGTTGGACAGGGGTTATAGGTTTCTGGGAAGTAGACCACGGAGGTGAAGTTCTTTCCCTATCCCATCATGCCAGGGGTACCTGACACCCACCTGATATCACAGGTGATGCTAACCCAATACTTTGGTTAACACTATGAATAACATATCAATTTTGAATACAGTGTTTATGTGAATAATAACATTAATGGCTACCATTTATTGAGCACTTACTGTGTTGTTACTGCTTGCTCTGTGACATGAAGCCAAATGTGCTAACTGCTTTCATAGAGATGTCTGCCATTGGGACTGTAATCAGCGTCTGGGGTCTGTGCTTTGGGGTGGACCTGGACTTGCAGTTCAGCCTTGCCCTTTCCCAGCTGTGCTGACCTCTGGCAGGTTCAGAGTCTCAGTGTCCTCATCTGTAAAATGGAACTAGTCTGGGGTAGTACATCGCAGAATCGTTGTGAGGATCTTGTCCCATGGTCTTGTCCCAGCCATGATCTCATTCGATCAAGCCTAGCCCATTAAGAATTCCCACTTGAGGGACGCCTGGGTGGCACCATCGGTTAAGCATCCGACTCATGATTTCGGCTCAGGTCATGATCTCAGGGTCATGAGATCGAGCCCTCTGTCGGCTCTGCGCTCAGCATGGAGTCCACTTTAGATTCTCTCCCTTTCTCCCTCTGCCCCTCCCCCAGCATACTCTCTTTCTCTCAAACAAATAAACAGATTGAAAAAAAAGAATTCCCACTTGAAAGAACAAACAGAAACTCCTTGAAAGTAGCAGAAAGCACAAAGGCATATGCTGCTGTCAGTGGTGTCTTCAGAGCATATTTCCAGGCCCCTAGCTCAGTTTTCTTCTTTTCAGCCTTTGTATTTGGAAATAGAGATTCCCTAAAAAAAGCAAAAAAAAAAAAAAAGTAGGAAGTAATTCCACGTATCCTTCACCCAGTTTCCCCCACAGGTAGCATCTTGCAAAACTAGAGTAGTACAACCAAAAGTGGACATTGTGACAACCAGACAAAGCATCACTTTTTTTTTTAAAGATTTCATTAATTTATTCATGAGAGACAGAGAGAGAAAGAGAGGCAGAGGGAGAAGCAGGTTCTCTGATGAGCAGGGAGCCCAACACGGGGCTCGATCCCAGGACCCCAGGATCATGACCTGAGCTGAAGGCAGACGCTTAACCCACTGAGCCACCCAGGCGCCCCTGACAAAGCATCACTTTTACAAACGTGCATTTGCATGTGTGCACGTGCACATGTGTATTTCACGCTAAGAAAATTTCACACCTGTGTAGCTTCGAATAACTGCCACAGTCCATAGGCGGGAACGTTTCCTCACTGCAAAGTTCCCCCCACTGCCCTCTTAGAGTCACATTTGGCCCTGCCCTCAGTCCCCAGCCCCTGGCAACCAGTAATCCATCTCCATCTCTATAATTTGTTATTTCAGTGATGTTATAGAATGGGATCACACAGTCTACAACCTTTGGAGATTGGCTTTGTTCCTTCGGCATAACGAGCTCAGCTTTTCACAAGCATTGTTTCATAGAAGATGCTGCCAGGAGCCTAGGCAAGGTTAAACTAGCACAGGGGCACCTGGGTGGCTCAGTCAGCTGGGCGTCTGCCTTTGGCTCGGGTCATGATCCCAGGGTCCTGGGATCTAGTCCCACATCGGGCTCCCTCCTCGGGGGGAGGCCTGCTTCTCCCTCTCCCACTCCTGCTGCTTGTGTTCCTGCTCTCGCTATCTCTCTCTCTCTGTCAAATAAATAAATAAAATCTTAAAAAAAAAAAAAGAGGTTAAACTAGTACACCCACGTTATGGGAGAGGAAACAGACTCAGAGAGACGCAGTGATTTGACCAAGGTCATGCAGCCTGCAGGAGCAGAGCAGATGGCCTTGCATTGATTCATGCTGAGACGTGTCCCAGAAGGATCCCATGTCAGGACTGTCAGTTGCCTTTATCCCTGACTTCCCTTCGACGGCCTGAGGGGGCTGTGGTGTCACTCCAAGGAGGGCTTTTGAGTGGCTCTTAATCTCTGGCTCTGAGACTGAGTCCTGTCTCCAAGGGAGCCTGACTCGCTCAGCTCCAGAGACCTGGGAGCCTCTGCTGGGCCCAGGGCGGCTTAAAAAATAACTCCTCAGGTCTGACTGCTATTTCAAAACAGTGGCCTCCGAGGAAAAATCTGTGTCTGCTCTTGGCTCTGGAAAATTCGGGTCCTCAGGGCAGCTGTTGCATTGCTCTGGGACAGGGGTCAGACAACCAGGGCCCAAAGGCAAAATTCGGCCCACCACTTGTTTTCATAAACAAAGTTTTATTGGAACACACTCAACATATTAGTTTGCATGTTGTCTATGGCTGTTTTCACGCTACAACAGCAGAGTTGAATAGCTGTAATGGAGACCATTTGACCTGTGAGCCTAACATATTTACTATCTGAGCCTTTACAGAAAAGCATGCCGACCTTTGCTCTCAGCCTTGAGGCTCATTAAAAACTTTCTCCCCGGCCCCCATGCCTTTGCAACAGCTTTCTGTGGCCTCAAACGCCCTGCCTGCCCTACTCCCCCCAGGATGGACAGATATTCTCTTCTGCCGTCTGTCCACTTGTATGTCCATTTTTTTACTAAGACTGGAATAACCACTCCACAAAGGCAACAGGGACCTTTGGGCATTTTTCTCACTGCTAGATGTCTGGAGAGCTGAGGCTGCCACAAGTGGGAGCTCAATAAATGTTTGTTGAATGAATGTGTGATGACGGAGGCACCCAAAACTGACAACATTGGATTTTTTTTTAATTGAAGTGAAATTCACATGACATGAAATTAACCATTTTAAAGTAAAGGATTCAGTGACATTTATTGTATTCACAATGTTGTGCAATCACCACCTCTGTCTAGTTCCAGAACATTTCCATCACCCCCAAAGAAATTCCATATTCGTTAACGGTCACTCCCCATCCCCCTCCCCCAGCCTCAGCAACTACCGTAGTGTTTTATAACAGAGCTGCTTCTCACAGAGAATCTCTTTGCTGCCTACACCAAGGTTTCTTTGATTAATAATGACTAAATCAGCGCTATTCTTGGCCCAGCCCCTGGACCAGCAGCCCCAGCATCACCTGGGAGCTTTTTGGAAATGCAAACTCATGGGCCCCACCCAGACCTGCTGAATCAGAACTCCTGGAGGCAGAGCCCAGACATATGGGGTTTTTGAGCCCCCAGGAGACTCTGGCAAACTATAGTCCTCTGGCCAAATCCGGCCCACTGCTTGTTTTTGTAAATAAAGTTTTATTGGAACCCACTTGAGTGCATTAGTTTGCATATTGTCTATGGTTATGCCAGGTGACTCCAGCACACATTAAGTGGGAGAACTAATGTCCCTACCTCCCAAATATGTCTCTCAAGTGTCTCCACTGGGGCCATCTGGTCACACAATGATGACCACACTCTCTTTCCATCTCCCTCACTTTTTCAGTCATTGAATGGGAGATAGACCGGGGCCTGCTGAGCTTGACAGATGGAGACCAGGGGGCGACCGTCTTCTTGAGAGAGATCCAAGACCTCCACAAACACATCCTGGAAGACTGCGCCCTCAAGATGGTAGACCGGCTTGCAGATGGCTGCCTGGACACGGATGCCCAGAACCTTCTCAGTGGCCTCAAGGGACGCATTGCCAACATGCAGCCCGGAGTCCTCAAGGCCCACCACCTGCCATGGAGCCGAGACCTGGTGAACCCCCAAAACAAGGCTCATGCTCAGTACCTGAAGGAGCTGGGGGAGCAGTTTGTGGCCAGGGCTAACCACCAGGTCCTTGAGCACCTCCAGGAGCTGGAGGTGGGCCGGCGGGAGCTGGCATGGCTCTACCAGGAGATCCGCCACCACCTGGGGCTGAGTGCCGAGGCCACCCGGACCTTTTGTGGGCGCCAGGAGCTCCTGGCCCAGCTGGCGCAGAGGCTCCGGCAGAGTGACAGCCGTCCACACTCACCCATGGTGCTTTTTGGACCCCCAGGCATTGGAAAGACAGCTCTGATGTGCAAGCTGGCAGAGCAAATGCCGAGACTGCTTGGCCGCAAGACGGTGACCGTCCTGCGGCTTCTGGGGATGTCCCAGATGAGCTCCAATGCCCGGGGCCTGCTCCAGAGCATCTGCTTCCAGCTGTGCCTGGCCTACGGGCTGCCCCTGCCCCCGGCCCAGGTCCTGGAGGCCCATGCCAGGGTGGTCCAGTTTTTCCACACCCTCCTCCACACTGTCTCCTGCCGAAACTTCGAGTCCCTGGTGATCCTGTTGGACTCCCTGGATGATGTGGACTCCATCTGCCGCACCCGGAGGGTCCCCTGGCTGCCTCCCAAATGCCCGCCGAGGGTCCACCTCATCCTTTCAGCCTGCTCAGGGCGGCGGGGGATTCTAGACACCATGCGACAGACGCTGACGGACCCAGAGGCCTACTGGGAGGTGAAACCCCTTTCCGGAAACCAAGGGCAAGAGATGATCCAGCTTCTGCTGGCAGCCTCGAGGAGGACGCTGAGCCCAGACCAGAGGGAATTGCTCTGGGCCAGCCTCCCAGAGTGTGGGAACCCAGGACGGCTGAGGCTGGCCTTCGAGGAGGCCCGGAAATGGGCCTCCTTCACCATACCTGCCCCTCTGGCCTCCACCGCTAAGGAAGCAATGCACCAACTGTGTGCCCGCCTGGAGCAGACACACGGGCAGCTCCTGGTGGCCCACGTGCTGGGCTACGTCGTGTCTTCCCGGTAAGTCTCTGTTGTCTTTACCCTCTTTCTAACTGAGGCAGAATGCATGCACTCACCCCTCAGGGCTCAGAACAGAAACATCTTTTCTCACAATTCTGGAGGCCAGAGTCTGAAGTCAAGACGTTGGCAGAGCCATGCTCCCTCTGAAGGCACCAGAAGAGAAGCTGGTCTAGGCTTTTCTCTTAGTTTCTGGTGTTGCCAGCAACCCTTGGCCCGTAGACCCATCCCTCCTACCACTGCCTCTGCCCATCTTGCGGCTTCCTCCCTGTGGGCCTTCATGTCCCCATTTCCCTCTTCAGGGCCCACTCTGACCTAGTAGGACCTCATGGTATGCTGATTGCTTAAAAATTACTTAAAATACTTTCAGGGCCACCTGGGCGGCTCAGTCGGTTAAGCGTCTGCCTTCGGCTCAGGTCATGATCCCAGGGTCCTGGGATCGAGCCCCCTGTTGGGCTCCCTGCTCAGTGGGGAGCCTGCTTCTCCCTCTCCCTCCATCCCTGCCCTTGCTTGTGCTCTCTCTGTCTCAGATAAATATATAAAATCTTTAAAAAAAAAAGAAAAGAAATATTTTGAAATTATAGACTAGTGGAAGAATTCCCATAGTACAAAACTAGAACAAAGACTGGCCCACACATCAGGGGGCTCTACTGATGTTGGGGGGCTACATCGTCAGCATGTGGGGGCTGTCCTATGCACTGTAGGATGCTGAGCAGCATTCCTGGCCTTGATCCTGGATGCTCGTAGTACCCCTGAGCCGTGACAACCAAAAACTGTCTCAGAATATTGCCAAGAATCCCCTGCAGGCAGAGTAGGCCCCAGGTGAGAACTACAGCCATATACCCTTCCCCCAGAATCTCTGATTTGCCGCATTAGCTTTCTCTCTCCCTCCCTCCCTAACCCCCTCTAGTTTTCATTCTTTCTTTTGCAAATTCATTACAGGCGTTATTCCCCTTTACCCTTAAATATGTCACATATTTCCTACAAACAAGGACAATCAGAACCCCACATTGCTACAGGACAATTACAAAAGTCAGGAAATATATCACAGAGGCAATAATATTATTTAATGCACAGTTTACAGTGAACACTTGCCAACTGTCTCAAAAATGTCTTTTATAGAGCCCCCCCCTCCTCTCCGCCCACACCCAATCCAGGATCCAAACCAGGATGGCATGTCAAATTTAATTGTCAAGTTGCTTTGGTCTCCTTTAATCTGGAACATTCCACCATCTGGTTTTGTCCTTTTGAAGAATCCGGGCCAGTTATTTTATTGATCAGCGCTTCTCAACCCTTGATGGGGATTCATATCTCGGGCCTTGTTTTTGCATAAAGAATCTGATTCAGCTGGTCTGGGCTGGGGCCAGGACTCCCACGATTCTCGCTGGCCGATGCTGATGCTGCTGGTCCAGGGGACCACACGTGGGCTGGGGGGAGTTTGTAGAGTGTCCCTCCATCTGGGTTGGTCTGATGTTTCCTCGTGATCACATTCAGGGTGAACCTGAGTGATGCTCAGCCCTTCTCAGGCACGGATTTTTTTTCCCTGTTGTAAATCTGCAAGCTCTCCTCTGTATTTAATAGGTAATATGATGGGGAGATCTCAGAAAAACCTTTTTCAAAGCCAATTACCCTGAAGGATTGACCACCAGCGCGCATCTACACTTCATCCCAAGCTTGTTGCGTGGGAATCAGCAAAAAAAGCAAATAGGAAAATCCAGTTTCAATGTGTTTCTAGAGCTTTAGGACTGAATGCTTACATCCAGCTGCTCAGCCCAGAGAAAGTCTCAGGGCTGCACACTGCGATGTCATGATGGTCGGGAGCCACTGCTCAGAGATGCCGGGTAGGGAAGGAGGGGAGTCAGAAATACGGAGCAGGAGAGAGGAGCATGTCCATCACGCACCCAGCGGCTGGACTCCGGAACCCCAGGAGGGTGGGGCGGAGACCAATTAGCAGACACATGGCAACAAAGCCAACACTCAAGCCCATCATCAGAAATGCTGGACTAGCTGGTTTTGCCTCTTTTCAGTTTCACAGGCAGGTTTTCCTTCCAGACCTTTTCCTTTGCACCACGTCAGTCAAGATGGCGGTGATCTGACCCATGAGGGTGGCTTTTTGTTTGTTTGTTTGTTTGTTTGTTTGTTTGCCAGGCACAGAATCCCGCTCGTGCTAGTGTGTAGGAAGTCAGGGCTTTGTGCCAAGGCCATGGGAAGAGCTCAAGGGGTCCAGGACCACCCACCCAATTGCTGGCTCTAGGGGGGCATACCCCAGATCTCATGCCATACCCCAGATTTTGTGACTGGTTCCCCCAGAGTGGAGCCTGGGCCTGGGTTCTGTAAGAGTACAAAGACAGACTGGGGAATGTTCCAGGGTGAAGGGGTAGGCCATCAGGCCAACCTGATGCAGTCCACATGGAGGAGGTGGTGTTGTCATAGGAACCAGAAAGCCATGAGAATCAGAACAGTTTCTCGTCGCCTGGCCCTCTGGGTCCTCTCTGCCCATTGGCTTCTGTTCTGGACTCTTCCTTTGTTCCACTTGCCTCGAACTTCTACTGGCATCCTTAGCTCCCATTTCAGAGACCTGGCACCATCCTACTGGCCCCTTCTTGAGTCCTGATTCCAAAATCTGGGGAGACAAAAATAATCGACCTGCCCGGTCCCACGTCTTGTCCAGTTAGTAAAGCCAAGGGCCTCACAGGGGTGTCGGAGCAGCCGCCCCAGGGACTGGCGGGCCAGGTGGTTTAGGGAGGGAGCCTGCAGGGGTGATTTCGGTACCTCCTGTTCCTTGAAAACACATCATGCTTCCCCACGCAGTCAGTGTGCTGTGATGGTGGAGAACCCAGCTCTAGCTCTCAGAGCAGATCTGAGTCCTTCTAGGCCAGTGGTTCTTGCCCGGAGGAGATTCTGCCCCCAGGGGACCCTTGGCCACGTCCAGGGACTTTTTTGGTTGTCGCAGCTAGGGGTGATGCTGCTGGCATCTAGTGAGCGGAGACCAGGGGTGCTGCTAAAAGCACAGAACAGTCCCCACTGTGAAGAGTGATCCGAGCCCAAATGTCAGCGGTGCGAGGCTGAGTAATGCCGGGAGGAGACGCCTTGTGCCTTCCCTCACTTCTCTATCCAGCTCCTGGCAGCCATTAGTCTACCTCGTGACTTTCTGGATCCTGCTCTAAACGTTTCAAGTGAATGGAATCATACCCTGTGCGGTCTTTTGTGACGGATTTCTTTCACTGAGCGGACTGTTTTGAAGGCTCATCTGTGTTGCAGTGTGTGTGTCCATACTTTGTTTCTTTCTATGGCCAAAGAATATTCCATTGTATGGATACACCCCTGTCTTAGTCCATTTGAGCTGCTGTAACAAAAACACCATAGAGTGGGTGGCTTATAAACAATTTATCTCTCACAGTTCTGGAAGGCTGGGGAGTCCAAGGTCAAGGTGCCGGCAGATACAGTGTCTGGTGAGAGCTCGCTCTCTGGTTCATAAATGGGCATCTTTTTGCTGCGTCCTCACATGACAGAAGGGATAAGGGAGCTCTCTGGGCTACTAAGCCCACTCATGGGGTTCCACTTTCATGACCTAACCACCTCCCAAAGGCCCCACCTCCTAATACCATCACCTTGCGGATTAGGACTTCAACCTATGGATTTGGGGGAGACACATACTCAGTCCATAGCTACGACATTTTGTTTATCCGCGCATCCATTCATGGACATTTGGACTGTTTCCACCTTCTGGCTATTGTGAATTATGCTGCTCAGAACATGCGTGTACAAGTTGTGGTTTGAACACTTGTCCGGAGTGAGATTTTAAAATCGTAAATCTGATTCAGTCCCTGGCCTGATTAACCCTTCCGGTGACTTCCCATCACCTGGCTGCCATCCACCCCGTGCCTGGAGCACCCTGGCCCCAGATCTCATGCTGGCCCCTTCCCTCCCACCCAGTCAGTCGCAGCTGCGGTGGCACCTTCTCAGAGGGACCCACCTCCTCCAAGAACAGTCTCTCTCCCGCCTCCCCCCCCCCCACCATGTGGCTCTTTTTCATGTGACGCGGTTTATCTTCTTCCCAGCCATTGGTGTTACCCAATTTCTTTGTGCTCTTTTCCTGCTATTTCCTACCTGGCTCTGGGGGATGAGAAGATAAGCTTCCTGGGCGTCTAGCTCTCTGTCCCTCAGGAGTCAGCATGGTGCCTTGCATGGAGCCGACCCTCCATGAATAATGGCTAAACAAACCTGCCGATGGTTTGTTGATGAGCCATTGACCTCCCACGACCCAGCATCTGCTTCTCTAAGAAAGAATGGACTGGGCTGGCCCCTCCCCAGGGGGCCCTGTACAGAGCCACGCTGCCAGGGAATTATGGGACTGCAGCTTCCTTGATGGCCATCCTGCAAGCCTGCTGGGTTGTTCCATCCGGCTCAGGTGGGACAAGCCATCGAACCTGAGCCGGAAAGGAGGGGACCCAAGCTTGATTTGTACTGAGGGTGCATGAAAGAGTGGGAAAGAAGCTTCTATCCTGAAGGAGAGGGTTTCTGAGGAGGCACAGGACCACACAGGGGTGCTGGTAAGTGGACCCCCTAGGTGTAACTCCCAGGAATTCTGGTTTGGAGAAAACTGTGATATTATAGCTGGGATTGTCCAAGATGATTGCTCTCGCAGAAGAGACCCCAGGGGACACCCACCCTGTTATACACTAGAAAACACTAAGTGAGCAGGTGCTCTCTCTATATATGGCAGGTGTTCTGATTGAAATGAAGATTTCGATCCACATCAGAGACTTAAATACACACACTCAGTTTGCCCACAGAAGCCAGCCTCCCTCTTTCCCTTGTTCTGAAGGCTGATCTGATTGCTGTCCTTCCCGGATGAAATGTGCAGGCAAATCCAGTTTTCCCAGTTTGATGCTCTCAGGTATCAGGAAGTCCCTTGTGATCCAGCACCGAAACTTCATCACTCATCCCCTTTAGGGCCGCTTCCCTAGGGGTGGAAGGCAGCCAGGTCCAGTCGGCCTTGGTAAGGAGGCTGGATACTTTTCTGGGGCTGGAAACACGGGTGAGGCCGGGGTGGGCACAGTTGGTTTCTGCATTATTTTTCTAAATGACCCCTTGTCTCCCTCCCCATGCTGCCCGACTCATGTGAGACTGGGGAGAGGCTAGTTCACGGCTCTGCGGGTGTGTGTGCAGAAGCAGGAAGGTCTTACTCGATGGGCACAGCTGTAACCGGGCATCAGTACCTGCTGGGCACGGTCCAAATGCCGACCCTCGGGGTGGACCCTTTGGTGACGGGCAGGATGCTGTGCCGCGCTGGCCACGTCTCCCCGTCCCTGGGCGTCTGCGCCCTCCGACCGCAGGAGACACAGCGTGTCCCAGCACCCGTCCCTTCTCCCCGCAGGCATGGGCTCTCAGAGGCAGAGCTGAAGGACATCCTGTCCCTGGACGACGAGGTCCTGCAGGCTGTGTACCGGGACTGGACCCCGCCCAGCAAGGAGCTGTTGCGTTTCCCACCCCTGCTGTGGGTGAGGCTCCGCCGGGATCTGGGCCACTGCTTGGCCCGGCGGCCCGTGGACGGCTTCACGCTGCTGGCCATCGCCCACAGGTGGGTCCGGCATGGTGGACATGCCGCCTGGGCTCCCGGGAGCGAGAGCTCGCTCATCGGGCTCCTCCTTGTTCCAGATCCTTCTTTTATCCCCGTCCCCAGCGAAACAAGTGCATTTAGCACGGCATTCAGGGGTTTCCACACCGCTGACTCTGATACAGCTAACTCGGTTTTAAACTGACGATACAGGGTGCCTGGGTGGCTCAGTTGGTTAAGCGACTGCCTTCGGCTCAGGTCATGATCCTGGAGTCCCGGGATCGAGTCCCGCATCGGGCTCCCTGCTTAGCAGGGAGTCTGCTTCTCCCTCTGGCCCTCCCTCCTCTCATGTGCTCTCTCTCTCTCTCTCTCAAAATAAATAAAAATAAATCTTAAACTGAGGATACATTCACATAACATAAAATTCATCCATTTAAAGTGTACAATTCAGGGCACCTGGGTGGCTCAGTTGGTTAAGCGACTGCCTTCGGCTCAGGTCATGATCCTGGAGTCCCGGGATCGAGTCCCACATCGGGCTCGAGTCCCGCATCGGGCTCCCTGCTCAGCGGGGAGTCTGCTTCTCCCTCTGACCCTCTACCCTCTCGTGCTCTCTATCTCTCATTCTCTCTCTCTTAAATAAATAAAATCTTTAAAAAAAAATAAATAAAGTGTACAATTCAGTAACATTAAGTGCATCCACAATGTGTTATAACCATCACCTCTAAAATGTTCCAGAACAATTCCATCCCCTCAAAAGGACACCTGGTCCCCATCAGCAGTCATTCCCCATCCCCCCCCCCCGGTCCCCAGCCCCTGTCTGGCACCCACGAATCTGCTTTCTGTCTCCATGGATTTGCCTCTTCTGCACATTTCATATACATGGAACCACACAACATGTGGCCTTTAGTGTCCCAGCTGCTTTCCTCGGCATAGAGCTTCCGAGGTTCATCCATGTTGTAACGTGAATCAGGGCTTTGTTCCTTTTCATGGCTGAGTAATATCCCGTTGCATGGATGGACCACATTTTGTTTATCTGTTTATTCATCGATGGACACTTGGGTCATTCCTTGGGCTTGTGGTCAGTGCTGCGTGAACATGTGAGCACAAGTTTTCTTTCGAACACCTGTTTTTGTTTTGTTTTTTTAAATTCTTTTGGGTCTATACCCAGGAGTGGAGTAGCTGGGTCCTACAGTACCTTATTTTAAGTTTAAGTTGAGGAACCCAAATGTTCCTTTTTAAAGTAAATATATTTAGGGGCACCTGGATGGCTCAGTCATTAAGCGTCTTGCCTTTGGCTCAGGTCATGATCCCGGAGTCCTGGGATCGAGCCCCGCGTCAGGCTCCCTGCTCAGTGGGAAGCCTGTTTCTCCCTCCCCCATACCCTCTGCTTGTGTTTCCTCTCTCGCTGTGTCTCTCTCTGCCAAATAAATAAAATCTTAAAAAAAAAAAAGTAAATGTATTTAACGGGAAAAAAGAAAGATGGGCAAATTTATAGATGAAGGTTAGCTAACAAGTAGGACGGGTGGTCAGCAGAGCCAGCGAGCATCTGGCAGGTGGCTTAGGAGGGACCTGCATTTGGGAACAGGTTCCTGGAAGGCTGGGGGCCCCCTCTGAGCTCACCCCATCCCCCAGGCCCATAAGCCCGTGTCCCCACTCTGCAGGCAGCTGGCCGAGGTGGTCCAAGAGCGCTACCTGTCCGGGCCCGAGAGAGCCAAGAGGCACGGAGTCTTAGCTGACTTCTTCTCAGGGGCCTGGAGCCAGGGCACCAAGAAACTCATCACTCTGCCGCTGGTGGGGAAGCCCCTGAACCTGGACCGCAAGGTGAACTATCTGTCTGGGACCCCTGCTCACTACCTGCAGGCTCCACCCTGCTGTGCAGGCAAGGCCAAGGCTCCCTGGCCAGGACCACCTCGCTCTTTCTTTTCCATCAAGAATGCTCTCCTCACCTTCTTCCCTTCCCTTCCCACAGAAAGCAGGATGTCCCCTCAGCCTCTGAGCATAATGGGGCGATTGGGAGCAGCAGATGAGGAATATGCCCTCCATCCCCAACATTCTGGGGTGGGGGGCAGAAGAATCACAACATTCAGAAGCATACAGAACTGCCCTAAACTCCTGGCATCTCCCACCCCTGGGCCTTTGCACATGCCATTCCCTTGCCGGGGAATACCATTGTTTTCCGATAAGGTTCCCCGGACAGACTCCTACTTAAACTCGAAGACCCAGCTCCAAGGCCCCTTGGATTCGCTGAGCCCCAAGTTCCTCCCTCTGCCCTGGCCCTGCTTGGGGTGGGCGTGGGGCACCTCCGTCTGGAATTGCATCCAGTCCCCTCCAGTGTCACACGTGCATGGCAGCTTGGCCCATGTTTGTGGAGTGAATGAGTGAGCTTGTGTCATCGTGGCCTGGCTGCCAGCCCCCTCCTCCCCTGCAGGTGGCCCCTCAGCCCCTGTGGTTCTCAGACACGGTGGCAAATCTGCGGAAGCTGAAGGAGTTGCCCCATCACCTGGTCCACTCAGGCCGCATCGAAGAGCTGAAACAGGAGGTTCTGGGTAAGGGTTGCACCCATTGCAGGGGACAGTGAGTAGGTCCCAGCCCTCCGCTGTGCTCCCGCAATGGAGCCTGGGAAGGGTAAAGGGCAAAAGTCCGAATGCTTGGCTCCTCCTAAGACAGTGGTTCTCATCAGGCGTCATTCTGTGCCCCCCCCCCACCAGCAGGGGACACTTGGCAATGTCTGGGGACATTTTGGTTGTCACAGCTGGGGGAGGGCGTGCTACTGGCATCTAGTGCTAGTTGATAGTGCAAAGGTGAGAAATGTGGTGTTCGAATGAGACCCTGTCTGTCTGTCTGTCTGTCTATCATATCTGTCATCTTTCATCTTTACACCTACCCATCTATCATCACCTATGTACCCATCCATCTATCCCTCCATCTTTCTATTTGTCCATCTATCTGTCCATCTGCTCCTCCCTGTGATTCTCAACCCGGGTGATCCTGCACCCAGGGGACTCTTGGGGCAATGTTCATGTTTTTGATTATCACTATTGGGGAGGTGCTACAGGCATCTGGTGGGTGGAGGCCAGGGGCGCTGATCAGCATCCTACAGTGCACGGCCCCAGCATCCGCAGCACCTGTGCTAAGAACCCCCAGAGAAATGGACAGGTGTGTGTGCCCCAACAACGCCCCCTTCCCCCCACAGGCAGCATGAACTGGATTTCCTGCCGGGGCGTCTCTGGGGGCATCGAGGGCCTGTTGGATGACTTTGACTTGTACGGCCCTCACCTGGACTGTCCTGAGGTCAGCCTGGTCCGGGACGCCCTCCAGCTGTGCCACCCGGCTGTGGAGCTCCAAGGCATGGGTGAGTCGGCCTGGCCGGGAAGGGGGGTGGCGGGCGGGGGCCTTCACTCTGCACTGACTTCTAGAAGCCCATTCTCACGGAGCCCCCAGCTGGATTTTCATTAACCCACACACCTTTCCTGTCTACACCTGCGGGGTTTCTAGAATCTTGAATTAAACCTGGAAGAGCTTTGGATTGAACACTACCAAAGTAGTGTCTGCCCCCTTCCCCGACCCGGCACCTTTTTCTAGAAAGGGCCAGATAGGAAAACTCTCAGGCAAAAATAGAGGAAATTATGTCAGTACTTAATATAACAAGAGAGAGAAAACACGTTCCCATAACTTTTTTTATTGATAATATTCAAAATACAATCATAATAATTGAACATGATTTTTTGGTAACACAAGTCTACTCAAGGGGCGCCTGGCTGGCTCAGTTGGTTAAACATCTGCCTTCAGCTCGGGTCACGATCCCAGCATCCTGGGATCGAGCCCCGCATTGGGCTCCTTCCTCGGGGGAGAGCCTGCTTCTCCCTCTCCCACTCCCCCTGCTTGTGTTCCCTCTCTTGCTGTCTCTCTGTCTCTGTCAAATAAATAAATAAAATCTTTATAAAAAGAAGTCTACTCAAGAGAAAGAAGGGGGTAGTTTTTGCTCTGGGGGAAAACATTTTGCGTAATTGGGGTTCAAAGTTGGTGTTTCCTGCCATCCTGTCCATTGCAAATATTGATCTGTGAAAACCATCCTTAGCTCCTGCGGTAAACCGTTGGGCTGGGCTTGGTCCACCCTCTGCCCTAGAGCTTGAAGAATCTCTGATGCTCTGCCCAGGATGGTGTTTTGTTGGTCTGTTTTTATCTTCATTTTTAAATTGTGGCAATATACACAGAACATAAAATTTACCAAAGTAACCATCTTTAAGTGTACAGCTCAGTGGCGTTAAGCGCATGCACAATGTTGTACAAACATCATCTCCATCCATCCCCAGAGCTCTTGCATCTTCCCAAACCGAGACTCTGTCCCCATGAAACACCAGCTCCCCACCCCCACCTCCAGCCCCTGGCGCCCGCCGTCCTACTTTCTGTCTCTATGAATCTGACCACTGTAGGGGCCTCATACCAGGGGACCCATGCGGTATTTGCCCCCTGTGACTGGCTTCTTTCACTCACCGTGGTGTCCTCAAGGTTCATCCATGTTGTATTTCCTTCATTTGTAAGGCTGAATAACATTGCATTGTATGGATGGGCCACATTTTGTGTATCCACTCATCCCTTGATGGACACTTGGGCTGTTTTCTCCCTTTTGCCCATTGTGAATCATGCCGCTGTGAACACAGGTATACAAATAGCTTTTCAAGACCTTACTTTCAATTCTTTGGAGTATACACCCAGAAATGCAATTGCTGGATCAAATGATAATTCTATGTTTATTTATTATTTTTTTTTGAGGAATCACCATACCATTTTCTTTTTTTTTTTAAAGATTTTATTTATTTATTTGACAGAGGCAGAGAGACAGCAAGAGAGGGAACACAAGCAGGGGGAGTGGGAGAGGGAGAAGCAGGCTGCCCGCCGAGCAGGGAGCCCCATGCGGGGCTTGATCCCAGGACCCTGAGATCATGACCTGAGCCGAAGGCAGACGCTTAATGACTGAACCACCCAGGGGCCCCCCACAGTGGCTGCACCATTTCACATTCCCACCAGCAGAGCACAAGGAATCCAATTTCTCTACATCCTCACCAATGCTTTTAATTTTCTGATTTTTTTTTTTAGATTTTTAAAAATTTATTTATTTGAGAGAGAGAGAGAGAGAGAGCAGGGGGAGGAGCAGAGGGGGAGAAATAATCTCATGCAGACTCCACTGAACGTGGAGCCCCATGCAGAGCTTGATCTCATGACACCAAGATCACAGCCTGAGTTGAAACCAAGAGTCGGACATTTAACCGACTGAGCCACCCAGTTGCCCCAATTTTCTGATTTTTAAAAAAAAAAATAATAGTCATCCTGATGAGTATGAGGTGGCCAGGGTATCTTTTTTTTAAAGATTTTATTTATTTATTTGAGAGAGAGAGGGACAGGGAGCACAAGTGAGGAGAGGGACAGAGGGAGAGGGAGAAGCAGACTCCCCGCTGAGGAAGGAGCCAGACATGGGGCTCCATCCCAGGACCCAGAGATCATGACCTGAGCCAAAGGCAGCTGCTTAACCAACTGAGCCACCCAGGCGCCCCCAGTGTGGTTTTTATTACACAGTTCCCATCTGGTTTTCATTTGAGGGTTTTATAAGGAGTTTTATAGAGGTGTTTAAGTCCCTATATCCCTTCTGGGGCTCCCTTGGAGCTTAAACAAACGCTACTCCTAGGAGAAGCCCAGCCACTACTGAACCTGGACACCCCCCTGGCTCCCTAGTCCCTGCATTCTCCAGCACTGCACCCTTTTGCCATCTGTCTTAGCTCTTATTATTTCTGCCGGTTGTCTTTTGTATCACCTGAGGGCCCCACCGGACTCTGAGCTCTCTGAGGGTAGGGGCATCATCACTTGCGCCCTGCCAAATTGCCAGCCCTACTACATAGACGGTCCTGGCCAAGAACTCAGATTTGGAGCCCCACTGTATTGATTCAAATCCGGGCTTTGCCACGTACTGGTGGTGTGACCTTGCAAGTCCCTTATGCTCCTCACCCCACCCCCCACCTTGCTGTCCTCAGTGTTTCCATCTGCAAAATGGGGATGCTGGTCAACCTTCCTCCCTAGAGCTGCGAGGAAAGATTTACAAGTCAATTCTTGCAGAGCCTGTCCCCATGATAGCCTCAATATTGTTGATGTGAACAGCCTTGGACAAGCCATTTCTTGTGTTGTGTTGTTGTTTGTTTCTTTGGGTTTTGTTGTTGTTGTTGTTGGATGAGTCACTTCTGCGTGGAGCCTCAGCTTCCATCATCTGCAAAATACGGGATTGAACTAAAGTATGTCCCAAGAGGAAGATGCTGGTGCCCACCATCAGTTTGGCCTTTCTTGTGCATTCATGCTCAGCAGTTGTAAACCTCATGGGGAGTGATTTACCAGGGAAATAGCCTTGGGAACAACTGCCCAGTTCAAGGGAAGATTTAAAAGCCCAAATCACAGCATGTTCTTTTCAACAATCCTTGATTGACAACCTGGGGCTTGCCCCTCATGAGAAGGTGTAGTAGGAATGAATGTCACCACCAGAGGGCGCCGCTGGCCAACCTTGAGTTCCAGCACATTCCAGGACTTTGAGCCCGCTCCTCAAAGCCCGCGGGGTTTCTCCTATTGCCTCAGGCTCCGGGATGATTTGGTGTGGTGCTGTTTCTGACCCTATTTTTATTTTAAAAGCCGATATTTTGTTCACCATGGGTTGGGGGGCATTAATTTTGATTTGTTAAAATATTGCATTAAAATAGTATTTATCTGGGGGCACCTGGGTGGCTCAGTCGGTTAAGCGTCTGCCTTCGGCTCAGGTCATGATCCCAGGGTCCTGGGATCGAGCCCCGCGTTGGGCTCTCCGTTCAGCGGGAAGCCTGCTTCTCTCTCTCCCTCTGCCTGCTGCTTCCCCTGCTTGTGCTCGCTCACTCTCTGTCAAATAAATACATAAAATCTTTAAAAAGAAAAAAAATAGTATTTATCTGGATGGTTGAGTTTGGTGGTGCCACCTTGAATTTTGCACCCATGGTGAGTGGGGCACTCACCCCTGGTCCTAACCTTGCCTCATTTCACCCACCAGCAAACCAAGGCACAGGGCATTGTCACCATTGCCCCAAACCCCACAGTTAGGACAAGATGACAACAGGGAAAATGAACTGCCTGCTTCACTGTCCCTGGTCTTCATTCGAGGTTGGAATAAAACTTTTTAGGTTAGATTCCTGCCTCTTACTGGCTGTGTGACCTTGTACAAGTTGCTTAACCTCTCTGAGCCTCAATTTCCCCCTTTATGAACTAGGCATAATAATGATGATACCTCTGTTGTGGTAGGCAGAAAACACTGCCCCCCTCCAAAAATATATTCACTTCCTAATCCCTGGAACCTGTGACTCTTGTCTTATATGGCAAATGATGTGATTAAATTAAGGAACTTGAGATGGAGAGTGGGGTGATGATGATGATCTGGTGGAAGTGGGTGGCTCAGGCTCCAGCAGTGAAAGAATTCGCCAGAGGCAGAACAAAGGAGACAGAAGTCTCTAGAACAAAGGAGATGGAAGTTTATTGAATACACCCCAAGGGAGCTGCAGGCAGGACCACACAGGGGAGGCTGTCTGCCCCAAGGCAGTGGGAGGGGCTGTATTTAAAGGAGGAAGGTCAGGTGGTCTGGGGACATATGGAAATTTTTTTTTTTTTTTTTTTTTTTTTTTGGTACCTGTGCCTGGCTGTCCGTAGCCCGCTGGACCGCTAGGGCTTCTGGATAATCTGGGGTGGCTCGCCTGACGGGCCTGTCTTCAGTTCAGTGGTCGCTGTGGGCCCTTTTGCCTTGCTCTGCATTCCATTGTTCAAGCCCATTGCCGAAAAGCGGCCTCTACCATTTACTGGGTGTCTGTGATGTTCTAGGCTCTAAGAACACAATGAACAATCATCACTGTTCTCGGGGAAACTCAAGATTTAGGGTAGTGAAGGAATAAACAAAGAAATGTCAATTGTAGCTCTGATGAGCTCAGGGGAGTGGGGGTGGGGTCGGTGGATTAGAGGGCTGGGCTGGAGAATGCTCTTTAAAGAAGTAACCCTGGAGCTAAAATGAGATTTTTTTTTTAAGATTTTATTTATTTATTTGACAGAGAGAATGAGATAGAGAGAGAGCATGAGAGGGGGGGAGGGTCAGAGGGAGAAGCAGACTCCCCGCCGAGCAGGGAGCCCGATGCGGGACTCGATCCCGGGACTCCGGGATCATGACCCGAGCCGAAGGCAGTCGCTTCACCAGCTGAGCCACCCAGGCGTCCTAAAATGAGATATTTAGCATGAGAAAGGGGAAGGGGAGAAGAAGGAAGTATTCCAGGCAGAGGAACCAGAGGAGACAAAGGTCCAGAGGCTATGAACCACCCGGTTCCCTCGAAGTAGGGATGAGTGTCCTTGGAAAGGAGAGAAGGAGGCAGGAGAAGATGGCGGCGGACTCCACCCATCAGCCGTGCCCTTTCCCTTAACCTGAGTCCCCTTTGTTGCAGAGAGGAGCATCCTATATACGGAACTCCTGGCCCGACTCCATTTCTTTGCCGCCTCACATCCAGCCCTGGTGGGACAGCTGTGCCAACAGGCCCAGAGCTGGTTCCGGGTGTGCCCCCACCCTGTGCTCATACCCCTCGGGGGATTCCTCCAGCCCCCGGGGGGACCCCTCCGGGCAACCGTCACAGGCTGTCACAAGGGTGAGTCTCCCCAGCACAGCAAAAATCCTGCCAGGCTCTCATTGTGCCTGAGGGCAGCAGATGGCAGGGGTTTCTGGCTGCTCGCTCCCCTCTGTCGCTAGGGAGGCCCCGAGGGTCCCATCAGGGTGTGCCCTTGCTGTCTCATGCTGACTTGACTGTCTCTGCCCCCCAGGGACTATAGATGAGTATTGTAAACACCGCTGATGAGCCCAGAGCAAGGGGGTGCTGACTGCCTCTAAGAATCGAGTGTCCATCTTACAGATAGGTTTTGTGATTTACTGGCTCATGCTAGTAAGACCAAAAGGTAGGAATTGATGACTGACTGGCCCCTGAGAGGCTGGTGGCACTCGTAGATTCCCCCGGGACACCAGAAGTTCAGAGAGACAAGAGGGCTTAGTTCTCTCCATTTGTTTGTTTCGCTTCCTTCCCTTCTTCCTCCCCCCACTTCCTTCCTTCGTTCCTTCCTTCCTTCCTTCCATCTTCTGTCTGTCCTTCTGTCCATCCATCATCCATCCATCCATCATCCATCCATCCATCATCCATCCATCCATCCATCCATCCATCCATCATCCATCCATCATCCATCCATCCATCATCCATCCATCCATCCATCCATCCATCATCCATCCATCCATCCATCCATCATCCTTCCTTCCTTCCATCTTCTGTCTGTCTTTCTGTCCATCCATCATCCATCCATCATCCATCCATCCATTCATCCATCTATCATCCTTCCTTCCTTCCATCTTCTGTCTGTCCTTCTGTCCATCCATCATCCATCCATCCATCATCCATCCATCATCCTTCCTTCCTTCCATCTTCTGTCTGTCCTCTGTCCATCCATCATCCATCCATCCAT